TATGGAACCAAAAAGAGGCCCGCATTGCCAAGGACACATCCTAAGCCAAAAGAACCAAAGCTGGAGGCATCACGCGTACCTGACTTCAAACTATACTACCCACCCCCAGGGATGAAGCCCACTTGATCATGGTGGATAAGCTTTTTGATATGCTGCTGGATTTGGTTTGCCAGTATTTGATTGAGGATTTTTGGATCGATATTCATCTGAAAGAAATTCTCTTTTTTTGTTGTATCTCTGTCAGGCTTTGGTATCAGTATGATGTTGGCCTCATAAAATGAGTTAGCGAGGATTCTCACTTTTTCTATTGATTGCAATAGTTTCAGAAGAAATGGTACCAACTCCTCCTTGTACCTCTGGTAGAATTCGGCTGCTTTTTCACTCATTTTCTTAAGCTGCTACAAAGAATGAAGTGTCAGCTCCTACTTTTGGTGCCTTGCTGCTGATGAATTAAGGTTTATTCTTTTTCCCCCTTGTCCCCCACTTACAGGAAATCTAGTAAGAAATCATGGAAGCTCCCTTATCTGATGCCAGTGTGAAGTTTAAATCACACAAACTCCTTCTCCTGAGTAGAAACACGCCCCCCCCAACCACCAACACCACCACCAAATCATTTTAAAGCCCTGATTCAGCCTCCTTTCCTGTTCCATTGAGGAAATTCTAATTTGGAATGTCTTGAGAGGCCTGTGCTGCTCTCAGCAGACAATAACAATGGTGGTAAATCTTTCCATGATCACCTGAGGTGTGACTGTGGCACTATCAGACTTGACATCCACACTAATCATTGGTGGAGTCTCTCTTCTTTTGCATGGGGTCGCCTACAATTGGAATTGTGTGGGCTTGGAGTCCTGACAGTGACCACCAAGGAGCCTTTCTTCTTTTGAACTGGATGCTAACTCCCTCTGCCCCAATGCCCGGCATGGACTTTATCCTGCCTGCTGCTCACTGGCCCTTGGGGTTCTGTTGAGCTGGGCTGCAGTGTTGAGTTAAACACCGCACTTTTTCTGGATTTAGCTGATTAAATTCAGAAGCTTTGATAACTCATTGACATTGAAAAACAGGCATCAGTGACTGGGTGACTCTGTCTTTGGTGCGTGTGAGAAAATTTTTCTCTTGTTCTGGCAAATATTTCTTCTTCAGAGACTTCACAGGAAGAGCAGGGTAAGGAATCCAGAGAAATGCCCCAGAGGAAACTATTTTATGGAGAGGAAGCCACAGGGCTGACAGGAAACCAGACCTTAACCCCCATCTGCACCTGCCCTGAGTCTGACTCTTGTGTTCAGTGGGTCCTGAGCGCCCCCAAGTGGTCCTGTTCACCCTTCAGGGAGGCTTGTTTCTGGATTCACACTGACATTTATTCTAATTGTGTTCCCCAAAATGGAGAGAGAGTCAACCGTGAATCTATGCATTTCAGAGAACACAGAACAGGAGAATAACACACCCTGTCCCCGCCCCCCACCCCCTCCGCCCACACACATTTAGCTAAATATTATTAAAACTGCTGAAAACCAATTATCAGCGGAGCAAGATGGCTGAATAGTAACAGCTCCAGGCTCCAGCTCCCAGCGCCAGCGACACAGAAGACGGGTGACTTCTGCATTTTCAACTGAGGAACGCAGCTCATCTTCCGAAACGGATCAAAGCTGGATGGAGAATGATTTTGACGAGTTGAGAGAAGAAGGCTTCAGTCCATCAGACTTCTCAGAGCTAAAGGAGGAATTATGTACCCAGGGCAAAGAAACTAAAAGTCTTGAAAAAAGAATGGAAAAATGGATAACTACAATAATCAATGCAGAGAAGGCCATAAACAAACTGACAGAGATAAAAACCATGACTCGAGAAATACATGACATATGCACAAGCTTCAGTAACCGACTCGATCAACTGGAAGAAAGAGTATCAACGATTGAGGATCAAATGAATGAAATGAAGTGAGAAGAGAAGTCTAAAGAAAAAAGAGGAAAAAGAAAAGAACAAAGCCCTCAAGAAGTATGAGATTATGTGAAAAGACTAAATCTACATCTGATTGGGGTGCCTGAAAGTGAGCGGGAAAATGGAACCACGTTGGAAAACACTCTTCAGGATATCATCCAGGAGAACTTCCCCAACCTAGTAAGGCAGGCCAACATTCAAATTCAGGAAATACAGAGAACGCCACAAAGATACTCCTCGAGAAGAGCAACTCCAAGACACATAATTGTCAGATTCACCTAAATTGAAATGAAGGAAAAATGTAAAGAGCAGCCAGAGAGAAAGGTCAGGTTAGCTGCAAAGGGAAGCCCATCAGACTAACAGCAGATCTCTCGGCAGAAACTCTCCAAGCCAGAAGACAGTGGGGGCCAATATTCAACATTCTTAAAGAAAGGAATTTTCAACCCAGAATTTCATATCCAGCCAAACTAAGTTTCATAAGTGAAGGAGAAATAAAATCCTTTACAGACAAGCAAATGCTTAGAGAGAGATTTTGTCCCGCACCAGCCTGCCCTACAGAGACCCTGAAGGGAAGCACTAAACATGAAAGGAACAACCCGGTACCAGCCATCAAAAATAGCCAGAGAGAGACAGACCATTTGATGCTGTGTTTTTGTTTTTTTTTTGGAAAAAAGCTCATCAACGAACGAGCAAAATACAGTAATATCATAATGCCAGGATCAAGTTCACCACATAACAATATTAAACCTTAAATGTAAAGGACTAAATGGTTAATTAAAAGACCACAGACTGGCAAATTGGATAGAAGAGTCAAACATCAGTGTTGCTGTATGTCGAGAACCCATTCTCACAAGCAGAGACGACCACCATAGCTCAAAATAAGAGATGAAGAAGATCGTACCAAGCATAAGGAGATCAAAAAAAGCAGTTTCAATCCTGCGCTACTAATAAAGAAATTTAACCCATCAAAGATCGAAAAGAGACAAGAAGGCCATGTACAGTGGAAGTTAAATGATCAATTCAAGCAGAAGAGCTAACTATCCTAAATAATATATGGTACCCAATACAGGAGCACCCAGGTCATAAACGCAATCGTCAGGGACTTACAAGACGAACTTACGTACGTCCATACAATAATAATGAGACCTGAGAGCGCGGCGCCACTGTCAACCATTAGACAGCACAATGAGACAGAAAATTTAACTGAGAGGATGTCCAAAGAATTGAACTGAACTCTGCAAACCAAGCAGACTATAAGACATCTACCAGAACTCTGCATGACAAACAAAAGAATATACATTCTCTCACGACCACATGACTGATTCCAAAAGTGACCAGATAATTTTGGAAGTTGTAAAGCATTCCTCACAATGCGACAAGAACGAAATGTAAACAAACTGTCCCAGACCCAGTGCAGATCCAAACTAGATACTTCAGACTAAGAAAACTCAATCAAAACGCTCACGATACATGTGAAAACTGAACAAAACCTGCTCCTAATGCACTACGGGTACATCACGAAATGAGAGGCAGAAATAAAGATGGTTCTTTTGAAACCAATGAAGCAAGATACGACCATAGCAGAATCTCTGGGGAGCACGAGGTTAAGGGGATGCAGGAGTAGAGGGAAAACTTTATAGCACTAAGGGCCCACAAGAGAAAGCAGGAAAGATCTAAAATTGAACTCTAACCACAATTAAAAGAACTTAGAGAAAAACAAGAGCAAACACATGTCGCAAAAGCTTATGCAGAAAGGCAAGGAAAACAAATGAACTAAGATCAGAAAGCAGAACGAAATCGGTGAGACACAAAAAAAAGCCCGCCAAAAAATGCAGAGAATCCAGGAGGTTGTAGTGTTGTTAGAAGATAAACAAAATGATAACGCTAGCTAAGACTACATAAGAGAAAAGAGAGAAGACTCAAAGGTAGACCACAGGGATAAAAAGAGCAGTAAAGGAGGTATCACCACCCGTCCCCACAGAAATACCAAACCACATTCAGAGAAGACTACGAAACACCCTATGCAAATAACTAGAAAATCTAGAAGGAATGGATAATTCCGGGAGACTTACACGTCTCACCAAGACTAAACGCAGGAAAAAGCTGAATGCCCAAGTAGAGCGAAAAGCAGGCGTCTGGAGAATTGAGCAAGAAAATAATAGGCCTGACCACAAAAAAAAGTGCCAGGACCACAGGATTCATAGCTTAAGCTAGCCAGAGGTAAAAGAGAGGAGTTTGTACCATCATTCTTGAAACTCTTCCAATCAATAGAAAAAGAGGGAATCTCGTAACTCATTTTTATGAGGACAAATCATCTGATAAAAGCCTGTCAAGACATGGACAACAGAAAAAAAGGAGAATTTAGACCGATATGCCCGAGAACATCGGATCAAAGGAATCCTCAATAAAATACTGCAAACCAATATCAGCAGCACATTCAAAAAGCGGTACATCTGGATCAAGGGGCGTTCATCGCCGGGAGTGGCGAAGCTGGTCAGAGGCAGAGGCGAGAGCGAAAAGAAGTAGGCGTGCGCGCGGGCGCGCGGCCTGCGGGCGGGTTGTGCTGAGGAGAGCAGAGGAGCGTAGTGATGTGTGCATAGTTGAAGACCACTGCACCCAGGGGATGGAAGGGCGCCACGTGGAGCACGAGTTGGAGAAGCTGTTGGAGGCGCTGGGATTTCGGTTTGCGGAGGTGATGGCCGGTAGTGGAGATTTTTTGAATCGATGTCGAGGCAGGGATAGGGGCGGTCGAAATTCGTCGGTGGGATCGTGCTGGCCAGGGGGGTGTGAGCAAGAGGAGGCGGGCGGCGAGTAGAAGAGTGAGTTGTGGAGGAGGGATCGCCGCTGTCGAGGGAGGGAGAGAGTTGGCTCAGAAGGAATGGGGCGGAGACGTCGCGCCTGTGACCTCTGGGGTAGAATTGTGCGATGAAGGCGCATCTGGTCGTGACTGTGTTGGGTTGGGTGTAGGGCTATTGAGGAGGGTGCCGCAATTTCAGAGGGCGCGGTGGTTGCGGCGGTAGTCAGGGGATGTCAAAGTTTCTGGTTTAATCTTGGGAAGTGGAGAGGCTTCAGGAAATATCCAGTGGCGGGCGTGTAGGAGGGGGTCTGAGCGAGGCATAGTGATAGCGCGCAGGTGGGGTGAGGGCGGGGACGGTGGGTGAGTGAGTGCCCGTGAGTGGTTGGAGGGTGGGCGAGGTGGAGGCGGCGGCGCGGCGGGTAGTGAGGCGCAGGCGAGTCTAGGGTCAATGGGGGAGGCGTTGTGCAGAGAGAAAGCGCGGAGGAGCGCGGGCGATGCATGAGAGGGGAGGTTGGTGGCGCGTTACCGGACTTGAGGCGCTGTCGGACGGAGGGTTGGTGCGCTTCGGCGAGCGGAATGGCTGTGGCGCTAGTTCTGTAATTGGACGTGGTAGGAGGGCGGGAGAGGTTTTAGGGAGGGCGTCGCTGCGCGTCTCTTTGGGGCATTAAGTGCTATTAAATTCTCGCCTGCGTACTCACTGCTTTAAAGTGATCCCAGAGATTCGGCTATGTCGGTAATCTTTGTGCTCGCATCTGTCAAAAAGAGCAGTCGTTGATTTCGCCTCAGTTTCGTGATGTCCAGTAGGCATGCAGGAGCAGGTTGTTCAGATCCATGTAGATGAGCGATTTGGATGAGTCTTAGCCTGAGTCAGTTTGATTGCCACTGCGAGTGCGGTCTGAGAACATGTTTTATAATGCTGTTCTTGTACATTGCTGAGAGGCTACTTGCCAATTATGTGTCAATTTGAGATAAAGTCAATGTAGGTGCGAGAAGAATGTATATTCTTTTGATTTGTCATGCAGATTCTGTAGCGAGCTATAGGGTCGCTTGGGGGGCAGGGAGTCGTCAGGATGCCGTACATGGCGCGGGAGACGGGGCGGTGTCTCATTGATCGGGGTTGAATGAGCGGAGAGGGGGGGTTGAAGGCGGCGCAGTGTATATGTAT